GTTACGTTACGTTACGTTACGTACGTACGTTACGTACGTAGTACGTACGTACGTACGTAGTAGTGTAGTAGTGTAGTAGATAGAGAGAGAGAGAGAGAGAGAGAGAGAGAGAGAGAGGGTATATGTATATAATTGGTTCTTCATATCAAGAAAATTCCCTTTCAATTTGTGCTTGTTTAAGTTACTGACCTTTAGAAGAGTGACCAATTCTGATGTTTTGTTTATAACTTTGAAGGGGGAGATACAAAGGCTACGAGACAAGCTTAATGTTTCAGAACGAACTGCTAAGGCTGAATCTCAGCTAAAAGTATGGACTACCTTGTATCCTTATTTAATCTTCAAGCTATTTTTCTTTAATTTACTCTGATTTTTCTCTCCTCAGGACAAATTTAAATTGAGGTTAAAGACCTTGGAAGAAGGCTTAAAGCAAGTCACAACTTCATCTCCTAATACTGAGGGCTCACATTTGAAACAAACTGTAAAACCTGAGCCTGTATTAGGATACTTGTCGAGTAATATGGGACCAAGAAAGAGATCACAATCTCAACCAAGGGCTTCATTTAATGCAGAGCAAAGTACTGTTCAGCAAAGACCAAATGTCACATCTGAAAATTCCAACTCAAACAGAACCTTGGAACATGTGAATAGCTTGAAATATAAATATATTTCTGGGAAAAATCTGGTGAAAAAGAATTTGTGGGCACCAAGGAACAAATTGGTAGATGATGTTGGCAAGGAGAACTCAGAAAGAAAGGAGGATGTAGGTTTAGAAGAGTTTGCTTCAGTTGGGCCTGAAGTTTCGAAGGATTTCTCTGCTGAGGCTCATAGTATGCAAAGTACCCCAGAGAAGGATGATTTGAATGTTGATTGTGAAGATATTGTTTCTGGATTTCTTTATGATAAGTTGCAAAAGGAGGTGCTTAATTTAAGGAAATCTTCTCAGGAGAAAGACGGGCTTTTAACTGCTAAAGATGAAGAAATCAAGGTACTTTCTTCTCTTTTTGTAAGTTACAGCTCTTATCACAAGAACAATATAGAAGTTTTGCATTTCAAAATGAAAATTGTTTATCATTTGAAAGTCTACTACTTAGAAAAGAGGAAAAGACTTTAACACTAATTTTGCATGGCAGTTGCTTGATTCAAACCATGTATATCTTTGTACAATATTGATACAAAGTCAACTTCATAAAAGCAATTGATCATGATATTAAAAATAAGCTGAAATTTGTGATTCAGAAATTTGGAAGGGCTCAAATTTTACATATTTTAGGAGAGACGTCATTATTTTCATGAATTTGTCGATTTTGGTGAAGTTTTGATTCTTTCATGAATTTGTGGAATCCTCCAATAATGCTTATTTTCCTGTTTTTAGACAAAAAGGGTTCAGTTTCTCATTTTTACATGCCATTAAAACTTCAGTCTACATTTTAAAAATGGACCAGCAACATTAACGGGATAACCGCTGACACAATGAATTTCATGATGACATTCGTATATATCCATTTTGGTGTCAGTGAGGTATAGTGGCCAAATTGGGCTTAAATATACATACATACGACAAAACATTATCCGATATTACTATTTGGAGGCTGAACGTGAGGCAGATGTGGATGTCCTAAAAAATAGTGAGGGATATTGGGACTTCTTTCCTCCTTTAAAGGCTCCATCGAATTGGCTAATATGTAATTATCCCTTAAATTATTACATCTGTAGTATGAAATTACATTAGAAATTAGAACAAAAACTTGGTTTGAAAAAAAACTCAATTTTTTTTTTTTTTACTTTAATTGACTTCTTATTAATGACCTCGCCTTGTATTCCTTGGAAAGATGCTTGTTAAGAAGATTGACACTCTAACAAAGGCTATGGAAACTGAATTGAAGAAGATGCGAAGAGAATCTGCTTCCAAAGAGAGGGAATTAACCCCGAGGAGGGTTCAAAAGGACCCATTACACAAAAGCAGTACCATGATTATCTCTAAAAGGTTCGTAAGTTGTTTTCCCTTTCTCTCTTTTTTTTTTGCTAGCATTTTCCTGGGTATTGACTTTCCAAGTTTCTTTTAGCGGGGCTTCATGCAGAATCTCCAAAGGTATCTTTGAATATTTCTTCCTTTTTGACATAAAATGGAACAAGGCTTCCACCTGTGGGTGTTGGAAGCTCTCATATCTGTTAATTAGCAAAATTGTAATAAAAGGATGAACACTTAAGCTTGTCTTTTTGGTTTTTTTTTTCAGGGCTGTAAAAAGTGTCGAAGTTTCTTGTAATTCAAGAGGTTAAAGTGGTGTTTAGATCTGTTACCATCATCCATATACCATGTTTTTTGGGTGTTTGTATAGAATGAAATGTAGTTTTTGAGTACAAATGGTTAAATAAAGACACGGTGTAATGTATAGTTTTTGTTGGGATGTAGTGTGAACGACATAATGAAATTTCTTTAGTCTAGTATTATTATCTTCTACCGTGTATCTTCTTCTTATCATTCTAATTCTTCTTTTTTCCAAGTTTTCCTTTATGGGAAAACTGAGAAAACAGGAATCCCCACGGCACTGATAACTTGGTTATTTGGCTTGATAAGACATTCGATGAAATCGAGAACCTTCTTTTATGTAATTATGAAACATATTTCTTTAGACTTCTTATATTTGAAAGGAATATAATTGTTTAGTCAATCAAAGGCATTTCTGTTTTTTCTTCTTAGTAATTTTCAGTGTTTTAAAATTTTTTTTGGCCGGATTGGAACCGGTGGTGTACCGGTCCATTAACACCCTCCAGTTTTGCCTTGGTTCCCACCTGTTTGTCGCGATTCTTTTTTATTTTTTCAATTAAAAAAAACCTGAAAAACCAGCCAACTGGTTTGGGCGGTTCTGAGCCATTTCTGAACTTTATTTGATGAATGTTATGATTGGGGTGAGCAGAGGGTATCTTTCCCATAATACAAGTACACAATTCATATAAAGATGCAGAACCTGCTAAGAAAAGAGGTAAACCAAACCTGCAATAGCTCTTCGTTGCTTCACTGATTTGAAAAACAAAAATAGACATCCGCAAATAACTGTATATGCAGCAATGCCAAACCTCTCTATGACTCATGAAAAGCTGGGAATATTTTGAAAATATTCCATGGAAAATTGGCCTGAGTTGTTCCACCATAGAGTGAGATTCCTTGAAGATCACCATCTCACTTACCCTGAAAGCTATATAAGATGGTGGGTAAGAAAGAGAATAATAGCTGTCCTTTTCTGATGAGCAGCTCTGAAATGTATGTCTGCGTGAGAGAGAGATTCTTCAAAGATATGCTTCTCACTCATCCTATTGAGCTCTCTAGAATGGTTGGTAGGGATGGCTGCCACTTGCGGGGCCTGTCCCGAACCAAACAGTCCTCAACCCCTCAACTACGACTTCTTCGGCCATTACCCACTTCACACCGATCCCTAAAATGAGCTCCTTTAACTGCCTTTTCGTCACCATTACTTTGAATCGAGCTCCACCAGAGTCCTCCTTCCCCATTTCTTGGATAGATGGGGGCTCACATATGTATGGCTCAAAGTCTTCTCCACCACCATTGAAGATTACCATTCTGATTTTATTTCCCTCTTCTTCTTCTTTTGCTACTGGTACTTGCGGAGAAAGAAAGAGTTCCATACAATTACCCATGGTGGTGGTGGTTGGTGGCTGGTGGCGGCTTCCTTTATGAAGAATACCACGTCTATGTGCATGGATGATATTTATAGACATTGGAATTGTAATTCAAAGTGCCAAAACAATGTGTTTAATATAAGCAATGTAATTTATGATAATTTATCAAACAAAAACAAATGTTAGTCTTGGTTCAATGTGTCAAATGAAGAGTATATATAAATAATGTACTGTAACATAAGAACCTGTTATTTCTTTTTGTTGGGTATGGTTCAATGTCACGAAGAAACTGAAGATTTAATATAATTAATCTTCATCACACAATAATAATAATAATAATAATAATAATAAT